TTTTCAAAATGGATGGTTCAAGATTAAGCTAGCCCCAGATAACAGCAACGACAAATATGTCAAATTTCATAGAATGATGACTACTAATTAGAATTAATTTTGTTCATGAGCTACCTAAACAAATGCTTCATTCATGTAATTGGAGATCGCTTAACTTTCAGCACATTATCTGGCATTGCATGACTTTATCTAGAAAAAAGAATTAGCTCTCAGGAAATATATGTGGAAGCAAACTTTCCAAGCAATTCCCGAAACAAATATATAGAATAAGCAAAGCAATAAAACGGAAACAAATTTGAATGCCACAACTCACAAGTAAGTGGAGAGTAGTTGCAGGTTAGCACATTTCAGACAAACATTTCAATAGCTTCTCAGTTCTCTCGTGAACAAAAAGAAAATATGAGACTCAATCACAAAATAAGTAAATTGAATGAAACTAATCATACAATTGAAGAAATCACTGAAACTATACACGATTTCAATGCACGTCTTGATTTTCCCCTGAAACAACGTAATATTAACGTCTTGTGCTTATAACAAATAATTATCAACCAAAATTCACTTCATTCCAAGAACAGCCAAGCAGAACTCGAACCTTAGCCGTCGTGTATCCAGCAGCCAAGGCAAGCACAGGCTGCACGGCAATATAAAGCCCTGGCACATTGAACGTCTCAAACATGATCTCTCCAGTATACTCCCTGCTCTCAGGTGCAGTCAACGGGCTCTCGGTCAGTAGGAAGTAGTGATCCTCCGGATCACAGCGCAGATAGTTGAATATACACTGCTGCCAGAACCTCTCCATCGAATCCCAATTCTCCACCTGGCAGTGCTTGATTGGATAGCTCAGGTTGTACGTGCTGCTCGATTTCGATCGAGACAACGCCTCGTCGCCTATGTAAAAATCGAGATCAGCCAAAATTCCTGCATTATGCTGCCCCAGCCAATTACTGCCCTTTTTGGAAGTGGGTCGTCTTTGATTGAGAAACGACTCGTTTAGAGCAACTACAGTAGGGATTGTAAAACAGGGCTCAACATTACCGGCAAATCCGATTTTCGTGTACCTGGGCCAAATCAAATTAATGTAAAAATTCAATCTTTAGGAAAAATACAGCAAGCCCATGTGCTAGGTTTTACACAAATTGACAAAACAGTATTCATTGAAGCAAGCATTTCATCAAACAGCTTAGCTGCGTTAAATGGGATGAGAAAAAAGGAGAAAAGGAACAGTAGAATTAGATGAAATACCCAGTGCCATTGTCGATGACTACAGCCGGACGAGTGGTGGCGGGATCCATTGGAGAACAAGAAAATGAACCGTATATGAGATTGTTAGAAGGTTTCACGAGAAACGGTGATCGGCCGTTGGTATACGTCGGACGGCGTTGGGTGTGAGTGAGTAACTAATCAACCACCGGTTTTGTTCATCGATGCTTATGCTTATAAGACAATTTTGGGATCTTCTATTCTTCTACATCTAAACTTTGAAAAATACCCAAGTTGTATTATATATTAAAAATAAATATCAACAAATGCAAAATCACAAAAATTACTTTTTACATTTCCTTTGTTCTTTTATAATTATAGAAATAATCAATCAAATCTATATACTTGTATATAGATACATACACATAAAACACCATCTTTAAAATTTATTTTGAAGACTTTGAAGTTTTATGTTTTATGCATTCTTTTTATTTTTTGCCCTCCACATACCAGACGTCAACTTTTATATGTCGACCACCTAGACTGTCGCCATCTTGTCGATAAAGTTTTGTGATTTATATATTAAATTGATTGTTGTCACTCGTAGACTTCAAGTACCTGAATAATTATATAATTTGGTGTTGGAGAATTCTGAGAAGTTGGAACAAGAACACGAATGACTACATTGTCAACATCTTGTAATCATCGGACTATCAAAACTTTAATGGCATGATTGTTAGGAAGGAATGACATGAGAATAGAATGATCATTCACTTACTCATTCCTTATCCCATGATTGGTATATTTTTTGGAAATGAATGACCATTCCAATGGGGATGACAAAACCCATCTCTATGGTGATTAGTCATTCCATAGAAAATGAAGGTTTTCTCATTCCCATGTGTGTATGAATCAATTTTCAAAAAATAAAATTACCAAATAATAATAAAAATATAATATATATTATAAATCATGATTAAAATATATTATATAAAATTTAAATAAAAAAATTGAATTCAAATAAAGAAATTGAAAACTTACTTTTATTTATTTTTTAATTAGATATATTAAATACTTATATAAAAATAAAACTAAAAAAAGCATTTATATATAATTTAAAAATATATTATTTTATTTTTATATATTATTAAAAATATATTATAATTTAAAAATATATTATTTTATTTTAAAAATATATTATTTTTTATATTATTAAAAAATATATTATTTTATTTTTATATATTATTTAAAATATATTATTAAAAATATATATTTTTATTTTTATATATTATTAAAAAATCATTTATATATAATTTATTAAAAGTATATTATTTTTTAAAAAAACTTTTATATATTTTTATAATAAAAAATGATAATGTCATTCCATTCAAGTTCTGTTCCTTCTGCATACCAAACGCATCAATGACAAAACTTATTTCATTTCATTCTTCAATTCATTCCATTCCTACGAAATTCCATTATATTATACCAATCATACCATAAAAGTATATGGTATTGAAATCTCTCTTCCCATGTCTTCAATTTTAATTTGGTTGAGTGATTTGTGTATAATGTGTACATATTTATACGATAACCATGTGTCTGGTGCATAGGTTATGATTTTGCACAATGATAGAGGTGTCGGGAGATATCGATGCAACCTAAGTAAGTATGGGGCCATCCGAGAATGCACATAAGATGTTTGTGTATCTATTTGGATTTTCCAGCTAAAAATAAAGAGTCCCAAAGTGCATTCAAAAGTTTACGCAATTATTACAATACTTTCTGTTATGCATATTGGTAGTAAATAACTTTTATGCACACAACTAATTTATCGAACCAACATACATTTTTAATGGATATATTCATACTTTGTTCATAAACTTAGCTAGCATATGAACAGAGTATGGCATTGATTACTCTGTTAAAGCGCGTCTTGTTATTCTGGTCAATAATCAAGTGTTTGACATTGATTACCATGAGACCTTTGCTCTTGTGGCTAAGATGGTTACAGTTCGATTGTTTTTTGTTGTGGCAGCTGCCAAGCGTTAGGAGGTGCATCAGATGGATGTCCACAATGCTTTTCTTCACGATGACTTAGATGAGGAGGTGTACATGAAGCTTCCCCCTGGCTTCCGGATTAGTGCATCTTATCAGGTGTGTCGTACGTCGTTCTCTATATGGGTTGAACCAAGCTCCTCGGTGTTGGTTTGTCAAGCTTGCTATTGCACTGACACAGTACGGTTTTTCTCAATCTTATCATGATTATTCTCTGTTTGCTCTTCATCATGGTTCTGTTTATTTGAATATTTGGTGTATGTGGATGATTTTGATTATCTCTGGGAGTGATTCCACATCTTTTGTCGCTTTTAAGAGTTATTTGAGTTAATGTTTTCACATGAAGGATTTGGGTTTTTTGAAATATTTTTTAGGCATTGAGGTTGCCCGAAATTCTTCTGGTATTTTTCTTTGTCAGCGGAAATATACCCTTGATATTGTTTCAAAAGTTGGCTTGTTAGGATCCTGAGAAGTATCTTGAGAATCCTGAGACAACTTTGGAACAAAATCATCAGTTGCCTCTTACTGATGATGCGTTGTTGAAGGATCCTGAGAAGTATCGCCGTTTAGTAGGTCGTCTAGTTTATTTGGCAGTTACTAGGCCGAAGTTGTCTTACTCTGATCATATGCCACACCGGACTCACTGGGATGCTGCCCTCCGTGTGGTTCACTATTTGAAGGGTTTCCCCGGTCAGGGTATCGTTCTACGTTCTGATTGTGATCTTCAATTCTATGGTTGATGTGACTCAGATTTGGAAATTTGTCCTCTCACTCGTCGCTCTCTTACAGGGTGGTTTATTCAGTTGGGTCGGTCTTCTGTTTCTTGGCGTACTAAGAAACAACATAAGGTTGCACGCTTATCTGCTGAAGCCGAATACCGTGCTATGACAACCACTCTTTGTGAGCTAAAGTGGTTGTGAGGTTTATTGTCTAGCCTTGGTGTATCTCATTCTCAGCCTATGTAGCTTTTCTGTTATAGTCAGCTTGCCTTGCATATTGTCGCGAATCTGTATTTCATGAGTGCACCAAATATATTGAGGTCCACTGTCACATTGTTTGAGATGTTCTTCACCAGGGTCTCATTTCTACCTGTCATATTCCTACTAACTGTCAACTAGCAGATATCTTTACCAAGGCTCTTGACAAGCGTGAATTTGACTCTTTCCTTGGCAAGTTGGGCGTTTGGAATCCGCATGCTCCAACTTGAGGGGGGTTAGTGTACATTATATCTTATGTATTTACTCTTTTAAACTTAGTTTCTTAGAGGGTAAGTTATACTTTGTAAATCTTAATCTTTTGTATATATATACACGGCTAGTGCCTCTCTCTCGGCATCAGATCAGATGACCGATTTCACTATCATGTTCTTTTCTTCTATTTGTCATGCATGTATTTTTTAGTGTTATCCGACTAAGAAATTCGATAGATGCACTCATACATGTAAAATCGAATCTACCAACGGTGGAATTCAGATGAGATCCTTATCATGTGATCCATTTTGTAAACTAACAATCAAATAAGAAAAAATCAGGTTTTACTTTTTAGCTAAAAACTTAATAAAAATCCCGTACCAATAGGTAACATGCCATCATAAATCACATGGGTGGGCTAAAAAATTAAAGTCTCTTCTATTGATAATTAAAACCGTGCTATTGCTCTAAATCTGCATTAAACTTCAATCTTGACCGCTGAGAATCCAATGCGTTTCAAAAAGAATTATTCATAATTGAGACCCCAAAAACCAAAATCACTTTTTGAAAATTCCCTAAAATACCCTCAGTCCCTATCACTAAAAGTCAAGACTTTCACAAACAAACAAAGACGGCCACATGTAGGCCTTAGCCCCAAATATGTCATTACTATTTTCCTAGTTTGGTGACACTTTTTTCTTACTCCAGTTTAGCTAATCAAGTATGGAGCCAAGTTTGCATCTTATAGCACATGTTCATTAATAGCCAAAATTGATGAGTAGATTTTAGTTACATTTTGTCTAATGAAATAAACATACGTATAGTTTTTTAATAAAATTAAGGACCGTGTTCATTTTTAATTTTTTTTCGAACGTTAGAATATGCAGGTAAACACATAATTACAACTAGAAAACGGTTAAACAACTGACTCAAGCCGCTATAGAACTGAATCTAGTGGGAGGACAAACCCGAATGTCGCCTAAAATCCACACAACTAAACAACACGCCCAGGAATACAAACTAAATAACTCCCAGGAGTGAAGAATAACCTCTCCCGCATGGGAGAATGACACAATACTCCCAGATGGAGAATAACACCCCCCACCCCCAATCGGGGAGAAATTAAATACAAACCAACAAGACACACAAACACAGAAACACTGAAAACACACAAAAAAGCACAAACAAATCCTAATAACATGACTAAAGCCTCTCCAACATCCAAAAAGCAGCCTCGAACCACCTCCCCACAGCCCAGCACTTGCACGACCAACCAAAGAAATCGACTTAGTCTGCGGCCCAACACGTAGGATCTAGAAACTTTCTCTACGATTAACTAGATCTGGACCAACGTAACAGATGCCCCCCTCCCCCAACAGTTACCCACAAACTCGACCCTAGGAGACCCCGCCAAAACCCTCCCCATGCATAAATTGGGAGCAGCAGCACCCCTTCACCGCCACCACTAGAGGGACTTGCAATCCCATCACTAAGGAAAAATGAGAAGACTAAGGCAACAAACCCAAAACCGACCACTGCAAAGCGGCTGAAGGCGACTGCTGCCACGAGCTCGTCGGCGAGCCAACAGCTCTCACTCCCGCCATGGCTACCAATTTTGTTATTTCTGTTGGGATCTGTGAGAATCTCGTTATGTATAAGTCACGAATTCAATAGCAACGTAAACCTATGCGCAGCGGATCTAAAGGTTTGACGTAAAGAACTTACGGGTTAAAATTTATGTAGATCTGGTTGACCACGAACGGTTGACCGCAATTGATTGACGCAAATCACGTCTTGGGTCGCACGAACAAGATCAGATCAAAACTGGATCAAACGGATGCAAACGGATCAAAAACGAAACTTTGCAGCCTGAGAGCTTCCGGCAGCGCGTGAGGGCGCGTGCGGTGTCGGATTCCGGCAATCTCGGCGGCGATGGAAAGCTCTCGTCGAGAAGGTCGTCTGGGTATGCTATATGTCTCAATCGGACTCCCGGTTAGTTCTGTAGGTCTAAATATATTTCGTCTCAGTTTACATACAGATTTTCTACTGTATTACTCAATACACCCTTCTTCAACTTGTATCAGTGGAGCAACAAGAAGAAGATAAAGTTCGAATGAGATCTAGAGAGAGAGAGAGGCGGGGCGTGTCTCACGTTAGAATAGGATTCTCTTTCCTTCTAATGAGCTTAATGATGTATATATAGAGCTACAGTAGAGACCCTTAGGAGATTAGGAAAATAGCTCTTTAATTAATTAGACTAACTGTAGGCCAAACCCACTACTCTAATTAATTAAATAATATTAATGGGCTACCAACATTATATTATTGCACTCCCTTTTCCTAGCCCAAATTACATTTGAGACTCCAATAATAATTACTCGATTTACCTCCTCACGTTTAAGATATAATGTCCATTAATTAATTCGATTACTGACAATCAAGAATTAATTAATTTATTATTATTTCACTGAAACTAGCGCTCGTTCATCACATTCTTATTATGCCGGAACTTAATCCACCTGCAGGGTTTAGCATAACAATCCTTCATGAACTCATTCCGGGGACATCATCAAACTAACGCACATGGTGACCGTAAATATCCTAACAGCACATCCTATATATAATAATATTACCCAAAACAGTAGGAATATTAATCCAGCGAACTGAACCTCACCCATGTGAATCAAAGTAATATATATTATATATATCTGTCTGTTTAATATCTTACGGGTTAAGAGAACGCAGTAATTAACCGAGGCCTAGTTCATTTATGACGATCAGTATAAAATGAACTTCTCCTCTCTGGGATCCTGTTCAATACATAAATGTACTAATGCAACTAATCAGTCAAGACAAACTGTACAGTTGACACTACAACCGTTCGGATGGGGTGTTCATGTCCATCTAGGTTGTGAACAACTATTCTTGTTTGCAAGTGACTGATAGAGTGATCTTCGGTTCGCCCGATGACGACCCACCCTATCTAAGTGCAGAACAAGAGAACGTAGAACTTGTTTAATCTAACATGATTCTCATTCATAAAGGGTAAATGTGTAATAACATGCAAAGCCAAACTTTCAGTATATAACTCTAACAATTTCTTGGCGGAAACACCACGCAACCGCCTGGGAAATTGCGACCAGTCTAGAGCCGGCCGAAGCATCGGACGGTGTCGAGGGGCAGAAGAATGCCGGACGAAGGAGAGACACGTAGAAGCAGTCGAGGGTTAGGTTATGATTTGGGTATTTTTTTTCTTTTTGCACACGCTTAATGTTGAATGACATAATTTTTTTTACATAAATGGCATATCGTCTTTTTATGTCAACTCAACTTCAAAATTAACAATTTACAACTATACATTATTTTGTGTTAAAACATTATATTTAAGTAGTATATACAATAGATCTTTATGTCAAAATATTACGTAAAACTAGAATATTGAAAAAAAAGACTTTCATATAAAGTATCATTCTGTAAAAATACATATAAAACACCATTTTACATATTTATCGAAACATACAATTTACAATAACAATATACATTTTTATTTAATTAATATGTCTCACTTACAATTTTTGCCTCGATGTGATATTCATTATGTCAATTAAAGAAGTTGCTCTTACAAAACGAACATTAAGATTGTTGTATGTTAGAATATATACTTGTGAGTTATCCCACATCGTCTATACAGGGAAAATAGGCCTAACTTATAAGCCTAGTGGGCTACTTCTCCAACCACCAATTAGTTTTAAGATGGAACCTCACTTGGGCTTCATTTGGGCTTCCCTGATTTGGTGCGCTTCGTCCGTGGGACCGCACCCGTCAACCCCCGTTTGTCATGGTTGTTTGTCCCACTTTTGTTGCATTTTTCGTCATTATTTTTCTTTTCTTTTTCCCCCATATTAGGTCTTTTAGTTGGTTTTTTAGTTCGTTTTGTAGTTTATTTCGTGGTTCGCTCTATTTTAGTCTTTTGTGTGTTTTCCGTGTATTTTTTTCGGTTTTTCTTTGATTATGGTGTGTAGGTCGGGAGCCTCGGGAGGACCGGATTTCAGGTGAAAGTTAGTCGGGCAAGCTTAATTAAATAGAGGAGTTTGTTGGGAACACACAGGAAAAAGCGAAATCGAATTCCGAGTTGAAACGAACCCAACGGACCCGAGAAGCAAAGTCCAGCAGGCTGCCAGAGCCTTAGCGCCGCTAAGGCACACAGGATAGCGGCGCTACACGGTACTGGCTCGAACGGCTAACATGCCTTAGCGGCGCTAAGGTCTGTTTTACAGCAGCTGCGATTTTTGGGGATTTTGAATGGGAGAAGCTTTATCTTTCGAACCGAGGGCATTTGTTACACACTCGGCCAGGGTGCAAACCCTAGGTCCCGAGAAAGCACGACCAAACTCCTCTCTTCCCCTTCTTTTCCTCTCATCTTCTCCATCGTTTTTCTTCCTTTCTTCACCGTTATTTTCCATTTTTCTTCTTCTTCTTCTTCTTCTTCTTCTTCTTCTTCTTAGTTAGGGATTAAGCTTGTAATTCAAATTCAATATTTGAACTTGGATTGATTGTAAGTATTTCTTTCTCTTGTTTAATTCATGAATAATGGTTGACTTGAGTAGAATGATTATGTTTGTCGAATTTGATTTACGTAGCTAATTCCGATTGCTAGGGATAAGGGATGATTATTCTTATTTGATTTGTATTTGTCAGCCTGAATTGTTCACGCTTATGTGAGTTAATCTTATTAGGAATTGATGTAATCTTGCTTGATTAATTGATATAATCGAAGAGTGACACTTCGATCTGGCGATTGGAAATGATTGAATGTTAATTTGTTGAGTTAGGGTTTGTCAATTCTATATGATTAGTTGATTAATCACCTTCTAGTCAATTAGCGACTTTTAGAACCAAAAGGGGAGAAGTCGTAGACCTAGGCTCCCATGAGGTAGATGATTTCGTAATTGAATAGTCTATAGGTTTTGGATTGAAATACGTGCTTGTCGATGACCCGTCCTTTGTTACGAAAAGTTATTGGGACTGGGATAATTGGCCTGTGTCGTATGCTCGAGTTTGTTCGTCTATGTTCAATCCCTTGTTACGAAGAGTTATTGGGAGCGAACCGCTAGATGTCTAAGCGAGAGTGTCAATCTCGAACCGAGCGATTAATTGTCCGGCTTTGCTAGAACTTGAATTAATTATCTCTGATTCTCTAACTTCTCCATCTTTGTTCCGTTCACATTTTTAGGTAGATTATTGTTGTTTATTATTTCTTAGTTAGTAATTATTCAACCCCCTTATCTGATTAGAGTGTGTAGGATTTATTTGCTTTTTTCTGTGTATTCGATACCAAGACTAAATTCCGAACCGCCTTCCTCGAGAGATCGACCCGAGGTCGGGAGTCATCCCGTACTCGGTAAAAATATAATTTGGTACAACAATGGTATCAGAGTCGGTTCACCCAGCCTAGTTGGGCTTGGGCCTACGTGAGACCGTGCAATGACGTACCCGTCACCCAGCCCAGTTGGGCTTGGGCTTCCAAATGACTCACAAGTGAGGGGGGATGTTAGAATATACACTTGTGAGTTATCCACATCATCTATACAGGGAAAATAGGCCTAACTTATAAGCCTAGTGGGCTACTCCTCTTACCACCAATTGATTTTGGGATGGAACCTCGCTTAGGCTTCCCTGCTTTGGTGCGCTTCACATCCGTGGGACCGCACCCGACAACCCCAGTTTGTCATAGTATCATAGTCGGTTCACCCAGCTTAGTTGGGCTTTGGCCTACGTGAGACCGTGCAATGACGTACCCGTCACCCAGCCCAGTTGGGCTTGGGCTTCCGAAGGACTCACAAATGAAGGGGGATGTTAGAATATACACTTGTGAGTTGTCCCACATCGTGGGAAAATAAGGCTAACTTATAAGCCTAGTGGGCTACTTCTCCTACCACCAATTGATTTTCGGATGGAGCCTTACTTGGGTTTCATTTGAACTTCTCTGATTTGGTGCGCTTCGTCCGTAGGACCGCACCCGTCAATCCCCGTTTGTTGAAAATCATTATTTTTTTCCTAATAGGCCTAACTTGTGGGATGGAAAATAAGCCTAACGTAAATCATTATTTTTGTTCAATGATCAGCAATTGAATGTCAAAATTGTTGTAAAAAATTAAAATTATATTACCTCTAATATTAAAGTTGACAAAATAAATCCGTAGGAATGATATTCGACAACTCTAACTATTAAATGGTTATACATTTTTAATAAACATGCATGTCTTTTTTTTCCTTTTTTTTTTTTAAAAAAAAAATGTAATACTTTAATAAACAATATACATACAAATATGACATTTTTCAGTATAAATATATTTTTTTTTAAAAAAAATGTCTAATCATAGAGTTATTACACATAATTTGTGAATCGAATAATATGAATGTTAGGAGTTTAAAAGAGTAGATACAAGCCCGAAACTCTTGATACTCAAACTCGATCTTGAGTCATTATCAAGCCATTGAGTCATTATCAAGCCAAGTGACACGCTCAATGCACGAGGTTGGGTTCTACTCAAGTTTTAATTTAATGAGCTAAAATTTTAAAACTTACATAAAAAAATTTATTAACGAGTTTTAAATGAGCTCAGGTTTATAAACATAGAGAGCCAAACTCACAAGCCATTTTTACAATTAATCGAATTGTAATTAATTTGGTTCCATTTTTACAATTGTGAAGCCCCACCAGAGCCAGCAGCAAAACTCCAAGCACTAAAACTCAGGCAAATCGAACCACCGGCGCGCACGTTAGCTGTCCCCACCGCCTTTAGCCTCGACCCCTCCGCTAAACCCCAAAACCATGCATTCAAACAAACGGCCACCGCTACAGCTCCTCCACCCCTCGCTTAACCTGCGCCACCCCCCCTCCCACTGACACAACTCCATTAATGCTCTGCAAACCTCTGCCACATCTACTCATTACATACGGCATTCTGTATCTACACCCGATCCGTGAAGCATCATTAAAACCCACACCAGCGAAAAAAAAAAGAAACAACTCTAATTTTTCAATCTTTTTCACATTTTCTCCCTCTTTTCCCCTCAATTTTTGGTGGGCCCTGAATCACATGCGAGATTTTGGGTCCGGCCGATCTCCGATCGGGTGAGTCATCCTGTTGAATCCCAAGATCGAAGCTGGATTCCTACTCCGCCGGGCGTCCGGAGGATGAATCCGCTCTGCTGCATTGCTCCGGTGACGTCCGAGACCGATCGAGCTGTGGTGAAGCCGCACGCGCCGGGCCAGGAGCTTGGTTCCGAAAGTGGCTACTTAGATTCGACTGAGGTTAATGGCGGTAAGAATGGGATCTTCCGGCCGTTGAGTTTTAACTCGAGAAGCAGCTTCTCGACCAACAGCCGCGGTGGAGGAGGAGGCGGAGGAGGGCTTGATTCAGTCCCCGATGCTTGCGGGGAAAGTGATGAGGCGAGGAGCGTGGCCGGGATTCTTTACAAATGGGTTAATTACGGGAAGGGATGGAGGGTTAGATGGTTCGTGTTGGAGGACGGGGTTTTGTCGTATTACAAGGTGCACGGGCCGGATAAAATCGTGGTCAGCTTGGCGAAGGAGAAAGAGTTTCGGGTGGTCGGTGAAGAAAGCTGGAGGTACATGAAGAAGGGCAGCATTGGTAATTTGAGTGGGAATGGTTTTGTGGGGAATGGATTTGGTTCGGAGAAGCAGTGGAAGCCATTTGGAGAAGTACATTTGAAGGTGAGCTGACTAATTTTCATTGAATTGAGTTGAAACTTTTGGATTTTGTATATTTTGTCTGTTGCTTGTTTGTGCCTTTTACTAAGCCATTTGGAGAGGTACGTTTGAAGGTGAGCTGACTAAATTTTCATTGCATTAAGTTGAAACTTTTGGATTTTGTAGATTTTTGGCTGTTGCTTGTTTGTGCCTTTTACTAAATATAGGTATATATTGGGTCATTGGGGTGTTGCCACTAATGGAATAGAATTGAATGTTTTGCGAAATAATTTGAACAGGTTTCATCGGTTCGGGCCAGCAAATCGGACGACAAAAGGCTTTACATATTCACCGGAACTAAAACTCTCCACCTTCGTTGCCAGTCGAAGGAGGACAGGGTTTTGTGGATTGAGGCACTTATGGTGGCTAAAGATAAATTTCCAAGACTGTTGACGAGCAATGAGCTGGCACTTTCTGAAGAAATCGTAGTTTCTACGGAGAAACTGAGGTCGAGATTGACTCAGGAAGGGATTAGTGAGACAGTAGTCAAAGATTGTGAATCTATAATGCTAGATGAGATTGTATTGATACAGGACCAGTTGAAGAATCTTCAAATCAAGCACGTCTTGCTGCTCGACACATTAAGGAGACTCGAGGTTGTATTTTATCCTTTGCTTGTGAAAACTTTTTTGCTTGGACAAATGGGCTTCTGCTGTTTTTTGCTCTAGATGGCTTTATTCTATTCTTTTGAACCATTTCAGATATACTCATGAAATACTAGGTTTTAGACAGATGAAATGGTTTAAAAAGATGAGTATTACTTCTCGTCCTCAATGTCATGTCCTCACAATAACTGTTTGAAATGAAACTGAGACGATAATGTGATATGTATGGGATTATCTTGATTTGTCTCAGCACATAACTTGCATAACTCCATTACATCCCACATAAAATTGGTTAAATTTCATCTACAGACTGAGAAAATTGAGCTGGAAACAACTGTAGTTGATGAGACCAAGGCTCGGGATTCATGCTGTACACAGGGGAGAAGGTTCAGTGGTGAGTTCATCATTTATATTTTGTACTGTGGTTTGTTTGAATTCAAGAGATGTTTGTTTGATACCCAATTCGTAATGTTTCCAAATGAAACTGATTAGCTATTTTATTTTTTTTTTATTTTTTTTTTAATTTAAGCAGTTTCGGATTTCTATTCGGTCATGTCGGGGGGAAGTGCTACTGACTCAGAAGCAGATAACGAAAGTCGATATGGAGTCGACGTTGAAACGGAAGATGAAAGAATATTTTTCGACACGAATGATTTCTTGTGTGCAGAGTCTCTCAGAAGCAGTTCATACAGAAGACGAGATAATCCAGTATATGCTCATAGCCCCTCAACAACTGAAAGGCGATCTTCCTTCTCTGGTGTTGGGGTAGAGATACGAGAACCCAACTTCCCATATATCAAAAGAAGGGATAATTTACCGGAACCAAAAGAGAAAGATAAGCCAGTAGGGCTATGGTCGATTATTAAGGACAATATTGGAAAGGACTTGTCGGGTGTTTGTTTACCTGTTTACTTTAATGAGCCTCTATCCTCACTGCAAAAATGCTTTGAAGACTTGGAGTACTCGTATCTTGTCGATCGGGCATTGGAATGGGGAAAGCAGGTCAGATCTTTATTTATTTACTTCTGAATTTTGATGGGTGATAAAGTGATCATATAGTTGGGGTAGTCGATTTATTGGGCTAAGGTTTTGATTGTGGAGAGTTACTTCTGTATTTGGTTTGTTAAATGTTTTTTTGTAGGTGCTTATTGACTTGTCATCTGATAAATGTTACTAAATGCTAAGATTTTGCAGGTCATATGTTTATTTATTTTTTCTGATTCTTGGAATGTGATATAGTGACTATATTGTAGGTGTACTTGATTTGTTGGGTTAACATTTTCGATTGTGGAGAATTCTGGATTTGGTTTGTTTAAATGCCATGTTTTAGGCAGAAATTCTATGGCGCCCAATTGGTGTTTATTGATTTGTCATCTGATAAATGTTACTAAATTGTAAGCTGATTTATAATTTAAGTGATTATTCATGGGTTTTACTAAATGGTAAGCTGATTTTTATGTTATAGGTAAGAATCTGTACATGTATAATATTACAATCAATAGTTTGTTGATTTTTGGTAGGTTAAGCTTTCCGTTTTTTGAGTTTGCAATTTTTAAAATAAACAATTTCCATTTTTTCAGGAAAACGATTTGATGAGAATTCTAAATGTAGCAGCTTTTGCTGTATCCGGTTATGCATCAACCGAAGGCCGACAATGCAAACCCTTTAATCCTCTCCTAGGGGAAACCTACGAGGCTGATTATCCCGATAAGGGTTTAAGATTCTTTTCTGAAAAGGTTACTCGTTTGTCATCAGCACGAATCTCTCCACATTGATGTTATTGTATTTACTATTTAGCTTTATCTTAATTAGTTATAAATGGACAAAGTTCATCTACCGAATGGCAACTACCGTAACTTGTCGCATATGTTGGTAAAAAATATCTTTT